CATGCAAATAATACCATATTCCTGGAAGAAATGTTAAGGACAGTTAAAGAGAAAGTGCAAAAGTCTACCATTTAAATTTTTGAAGACCAAAATCATAACTATAGAAGTAAATTTAATATTCACGCTTGGTCTAACCAGTTACTGCTTAACTGTCACATACAGTCATGGCCAAAAATACTGGCACCTTTGCAATTCTGTCAGAAAATGCAACCCTTCTCTCAGAAAATTGTTGCAGTTGCAAATGTTTTAGTATTCACATGTTCATTTCTTTGGTTTGCTTTGGAACAACACACACACAAAAAAAAACCAGAGAAGAAAAGTCAAGTCTGATACAATCCCACACAGAAACCCAAAAATGCAATGGCTGAAATTATTGACACTCTGTCTAAATTGTAAGAAATAACTGCTTTTCAAGCATGTGATGTTCCTTTATTTTGTATTTAGACACACCTGTCGCAAGTAAGAGGTGTGGGCAATATAGTGATCACACAACCAGTTAGGATGGAGAAAAGTTGACTCAACCTTTGTGTTGTGTGTGACACTGGGCATGGACAAAAGAATGAAGTTTAAAGAGTTGTTTGTGGATTTGAGAGAAAAAATTGTGGAAAAACCTCGACAATCTCAAGGCTACAAGTCCGTCTCCAGAGATCTTAATGTTCCTGTGTCCACTGCACAATATCATCAAGAGGTTTACAGCCCATGGCATTGTAGCTAACCTCCCTAGACATGGACAGAAGAGCAAAATTACTGAAAAATTACAACAAAGTGTTATTTGAATGGTGAATATAGAACTCAGATTAACTTCCAAACAAGCTGATCTGCAGACACAGGGTACAACAGTGTAAGCTTGACTATCTGTCACCATCTGAATGAAAAGGGATGCTATGACAGGAGACCCAGGAGGACACAACTGCTAACACAGAGGCATAAAAAGCAAGACTGGGGTATGCCAGAACTTATGTGACAAAACCACAGTCCTTCTGGGAGAATGTACTGTGGACAGATGAGACAAAATTAGAACTTTTTGGTCAAGGACATCATGGCACTGTTTACAGAAAAAGAAATGAGGCATTCAAAGAAAAGAACACAGTCCCTATAGTCAAACATGGTGGAGGTTCAAATATGTTTTGCTGCTTCTGGCACTGGATGCCTTGACTGTGTGAATGGTATCATGAAATCTGATGATCATCAAAGAATTTGGGGGCACAACATGGTGCCCAGTGTCAGAAAGCTGTGTCTCCACCAGAGGTCATGGGTCTTCCAGCAGGACAGTGACCCAAAACACACTTCAAAAAGCACACAGAAATGGTTACAGACAAAGCGCTGGAGAGTTCTGAAATGGCCAGCAATGAGTCCAGATCTGAATCCCATATAGAACACCTATGGAGAGATCTCAAAACAGCAGTTGGGAGAAGGCATCCTTCAAATCTGAAGGCCCTGGAGCAGTTTGCAAACGAAGAGTGGTCCAAAATTCCAGTAGAGAAGTGTAAGAAACTCATTTATGGCTACAGGTAGCGATTGATTTCAGTTATTTTTTTCCGAAGGGGGTGCTACCAAATATTAAGTTAAGGCTGCCAATAATTTTGGCCAGTGCATTTTTGGATTTCTGTGTGGGATTGTGTCAGATTTAACTTTTCTTCTCTGTTTTTGTGTGTGTGTGCGTTTGTGTTGTTCCAATGCAAACCAAAGAAATGAACATGCGAGTACCAAAACATTTGCAACTGCCACAATTTTCAGAGCGAAGGGTTGCATTTTCTGACAGAATTGCAAGGGTGCCAATAGTTTTTGGCTGTGACTGTACAGGGAGACCAGTGCCTATCAAAAACGGAGGAGCATGTCTTTTGTAAAGTCAACAGCTTTCAATGGCTCCCTGAAGACCAAACTGCCTTCCAATATTTTGCCCGACCACAAGGACAGCTGGTGACGCTGTATTGTTCTCTTTCTCTCCTAGCTGCTAAATCTTGCCACCAAGCTCAGAGGGCACAGAGGAAATTGTAGCACAATATGCGATACGACAAGATTTTCCTTACCTTGGTTTGGAATGTGCAAAAGACATGTGTGAGGAAGGGGTGCCCCCAAGCCAGTGAGAGGACACGTTTTTCCACCATGGTGCATTCAACATCATCATCCATCAGCACCACCTCTTTCTTAAGTGCTTTCATGGCAAAGAACTGGTTAGTTGTCTTCAGCTCAGCAAGGAAGACCTGAGTAAAAAAAAATTATCGCAAATAAGCTGGCTGGTGTGAATGTCTTTTGATTCTCAGAAAGCTTTACAAAGTCCACGAACCTGAGAATGTGTGTCAAATGTAACACATTTATTTATTTATTTATTTATTTATTTATTTATTTATTTATTTATTTATTTATTTATTTATTTATTTATTTATTTATTCATTCATTCATTCATTCATTCATTCATTCATTCA